TTCCGGTGACTTTAACCATAGTGTGAAAAAAGGAAACTTTCGTGTAGTCCGGTGTGTTTTTTCTTTCGTTTTTTGCTGTAGTGATGATGATCGCTGGTTTTTCGTTCTTTCTTTTTTTTGTACAAACAAACGTTTTTGGCATTCACAATCAGTTGCTTCTTTCGTTTTACCCGTATTCATATATTCTGTTTGTAAATTTTTTTCCGATTTTGTATATAAATAAAAACGATTGGTGTGTATGTTTGAAGAAAAAAAAAATTTCATTATCTAACCATTGTGAAATTGGAATATTGCAGTGCACTTAAATAATAACTTATGCCTCAGAAACATGCTTGAAAAGATTTTTAATATTGGACGTTCAAGCAAGGATTGAGCTAGACAAGATGATGTATAGAGGGCACATTCCAGATGAATAATTTCTGTTACATAAGTGATTAATTTTACTTTGAAAATGAATTCTACAAATCATAGAGTTCGTGTAGTCAACATCAAATTCTTGAATTCATTATATGTCTGTCCAAAATGACATTTTAATTGACAGAATGTCAATAATTAGATTAGTTTAAATTCATGAAAAACTTACGTAATCATTTCATAGGTGCGTGTTAGAGAGTAAAATGACATATTTTTATATATATTTCGTTCTTTTCTTTATTCTTCGTACGTAAACAAGAACGGAAGAACATACGCGCAATCAATCGCATTAAAAAACGAACAAGAAAAAAAAATGAAACGATCTGTTTCTCTCACAGGATTTGTCACCATGATCATAAACATGTTTTAGTTAATATAATTATTGATTCCATAATCCCGATTGTCGAACAGCTTGTTGAAGAAGAAATTGTGCTTGTTGAATTTGATTTGGATTACCTGTTATTGTTATTAATCTATCATTGGTGCCTGGCATTGGTTCAGAATCAATTTTTATTGAAGCTCCTGATTCTTGACGAACTTGTGATATTTTCGAACCTTTCGCTCCAATTACGATACCTAAAAATATTCATGAGATTTCTGTATATAGAATTTAACTAGCTCATTTACCAGCTAATTCTGTTGGAATGGTTACTTGTGTTGTAGTTACTGGTCCAGTTTGTTGAAGTAATGGATTATATCCGCCACCATATTGTTGTGAATAACCTTGAGGTTGTGCATAACTATATTTATGGAAAGAAAAATTTTCGATTTCAATTCAATAGATGATTTATCTTACTGATTATTTCCACGTGGATGTTGTTGATTGTCTGAATAGCCTCCATAATCCGAAACATTATAACCATTATAAGTTGATGCATCATAATAACGATATGGACCGCGTGGTGGTACACCTTCAAGTACACTATAAACTTCAGTTAAACAACTTATAACATCATCTTTATTTCCTCGCATTGAAATACCTATAAAATAATTTTATTTTATATAGACAAAAAAAACATTTTTGTTTTTTTCTCTTACATCGTTCTGTTGAACCACCAGGACAACATTGTGGATAAATTTTCACATCGATATTATCTAAATCAAGACTGTTTATTATTATTTTCAAAAATATATTCTACCTGTCATTTCAACTTACGTTTTTCTCGAAATTCTTTAACTCTTGATGCACCTTTACCAATTAATGCTCCTGCTTGTGATTGATGAATCAATGCACGAATTTCACTTTGATCAGATTTTGTTGATCGTTGATGATTTTCATAAATACTTAAAAGTATATCTGATATACAATTAAGTACATCGGTTTGATCACCATTAATAATTAAAACACGTTCAGGTGATTCACAATCAGCCATTTGAATTTGACAACGATGTTTCAAGCGAAGATCTTGAATTGTTTTACCACCTTTACCAATAATTGCTATAAACAAGCAAAAGAAATTTAGTTCATTTTTTTTTGTAACATTAAAAAAAAATTCAAACCTCCAGCATCGCGAGATGGAATTAAAAAACGATAATCAACTCTGCGATTTCTTCTACCATCATGTTGTTGTTGTTGTTGTTGTTGATCATCATTAGTTGTACGATTTGAACCCATAGAATTATAATCTCCACTTTCCATCATAGTTGATGGTTTAATTCAAATTTTTAACGTTCTCGTGTTAAAAAGATCTATCTAAAACAAAGATTCAAATTGCATTACTTAAGTCTTCTTTATGTTGATTATGTTTTGTAAAGACACGATATGATTAGATAGTAAATATGATGATTCTCTTTTTTGGATCGATTTATTTTAATTGCAGATGTCACTAAAGAATGGTAACATATTACTAATAGAGCCATATAAATACAAGATGCACTTGTAGAAAATCTCAAAGGATTTTTTTTCTTACATAAAAATAATAAATAATATGTAATGTAAGTACATAAGATAGGTTTTCTTAACCTCTAGAGAAAAACCTATTTTAAATTTAATATCACAGTTCTGAAGAGACATAAATTGTCTCAAAAAACTAAGAAGTAATCAAAATAAGCAAACCTTTTGTTTAATCAATCAACTTTTTTAAATACCTTTGTTGTAAAACATACTTAAATAATCAATAATTTGTTTTTAATTAATGTTTGTGATCATCTAGAAAATAATAAAAATATTTAATCATTTTAGTTTACGAAGCAACAAATGTATAAAAAGAACTGAGATCAAAAGTCAGGAATAAAATTTTATGAAAATAGTTATTTTTGTAATTTTATACTAAGTCGCTGTATGACATTTAATAGTAATACTATATGGTATGACTCAATTAAAATTAACAAAAAGACAAATAGATTTTTACTGTACTTGGTAAAATTTTCCGCAATGAATGTCTGTTTTAGGCTCTTTGAGAATAATAAAGTAGCAGGTTAACTGACTTTATCATCATAGACCTATTATTTATTTCTGCTGCTCACTAGTTTGACCATTATTTTCAGTTTCTATGAAAAAAACTACTAAGATATTAAGCAATATATATATATCTCGATTTATTAAACCAATAACAACAAAAATATTTCTTTTATACAAAAATTAATATCTGATTAACGCAAGAATAATAATTATAAAAATAAATGCTAATTGTCTTACATTTCTTCATATTCATATTGATATCCACATTCCGTACATGTTTTTGTATATAAATCTTTATCTTCATCATATTTTATATTTTTTTCATCATAAATATGTTCATGTACAGTTTTAATTCGTTTTTTTTGTAAACTTGATCGTACATCTAAACGTAATTGTTCAATTTGTTTTTCGTATTTTTTTCGTTTGTTTTCGGATTTTTTTTCTTCACGTTCAAGAACTTTTTCTTCAGTTTTTCCTTCATGTATTGTATCACTTAGACGTTGAATTTGACAACGAAGATAAAGACGCATTGTACCCCAACGTTGATTATGTGGATTTTTCTTTTCAATACATTTTAATAATGGTTCACGTTTATCAAGATCATAATCAGTTAATAAATATTTATCTTTAGCTGATGTACGTGTTATTAAACTATAACGTATTGTTTTTTCATCATCAATATCATCTTTTTCATCATTTATTGAATATCTCTCTCGACATGTATCACAAATAGGTTCAGCAAAATTTTTATGTAAATAAGATGTTAAAAATATCATTTCACATTCATTACATGGCATGCCAAGTGTATCTAATTGATCGGGTTTGGTTTGATGAATAATAGGAACTGTTTCATAAGTAACAGGACGATTATCAACTGATTTTGGATCTTCATCAAGAAAAAATCCAGCATGAGAATCAATATTTTGTTTACGAGTTGGAGTAGGATTAATAATTTTTTTTTCTGTTTGTGTTTGATAAGTTTTTGTTGAACTTGCACGAAGTTGAAGTGCACGTTGACGATTACGTTCAATACGTTCGAGTTGTTCGGCTGTAAGTGGTTCATTAGAGTCCGACATTGAATCTGAAACGAAACAAATCTTTGTTTTTTTTGCATAACTTAAAGTTGTTCAAGAAATGCTCGAAGATTGCTTTCTTTTTTTAGAAAACGACAAGAAACTTTTTCAAATGTTTGTTTTAATTTAATATTATTAGAAAGAGTGTTTGGTTTTGGTTTCAGTTTTGGTGGTTCAATTTTAGTAATGATTCTATTTGGAATTTCTTTTCTTGTTGCTCCTTGAAATGTTCTTATTTCATTACATTGTGTACATTTAATGAATAATTTTGAACGAGATTTATTAGTAAAATTATCTAATAAACGACGTTTATATGTATTTGGTGTTGGGATCCGTTTATATTTACGACGAATAGATAGAAGATAATGTAAACGTCGATTGATAGGAAGTTTTCCACGATAATGAAAAGAATTACACGAATAGGAATGAGAACATGAAGGACATTTTAATGAAAGTTCTTTCATTGCTAATGGATCACGCGTTTTTTTGTAGGATGGAGATATTAATTCGGAATAATTAGAAAGATAAGTTTTCAGAAATGTGTTGTCAGAAGGACATGTTTGACTTAATTGACGTAGAAAAAGTTGACGTTGATGAGTGAATAATGACATAATAATGTTTGCTTGTTAAATGAAATAATGATGATGATGAAAATAGCAAACAAATAGACGTATAGGATGGAAACCAACAGAAAATAAATTTAAGGAATTATTATAAAATTGAATTTTATTTTAAAATTTTTTATAGAGAAAATATCTTTTAGAACTATATATAAATCTATAAAGTTTGATACAATAGATGTCGTTAGGTAAAGAGTGATTCTTTATTTTCATTTCATACAGATGATCACTCTCTTGAATCTATATGACAATGACATCATAGATACTATGGACGATATTTGAAAGAGAAAAAGTGATATGCATTGTTTTCATTGTGGTAGATTGTATAAAAGTAAAATTATGTTTGTTAGTGATGCATGGATGTAGAAAGCGATGAGTGTAGAGTTGAGATAAATACTTTTTGCATTACATGATATGTTCTGTATCGTATTAGTTTGCTTTTAATTATATATAATAGTTCATGAAAAATATTTCATATTTTTAGATTTTAAAATGAATAATAAAATTCTGTTTGATCAATTACTAACAAATTTAAAGATATTTTTGGAATTTATGAACTTCCAAATACTTGTTGAAACTGGAAGATATACAAGTGGATTTAATTACTCAATTATAGTTACATACAATGGAATAAATAATACTATTCAAGTAATAAAAAAAACCGATGTAACGATCTCGATTAAAGTAAGGATTATATTTTAAAGAAAATTAAAAAACTAATTTTTTTTTTGAATTTCAGAATAAACGGATGAAGGAAAAACAACAATCTGTTACTTTAGGTGACACTATAAAAGATTTAAATGAAAATCTTGGTCAGTAAGGATCAAATGACAGAGTCATGTTCCTCATTCTGCCGGAAAAAAACATGTTTTTTAATTTCTTTATAACTTAGGTTATATATATCGTAGAGAAATATTTTTTTCCGGCAGAGTGAGGAACATGAATTTAATTTGATTTTTGTTCAGAAAGTTTCTTTGATCCATTTTTATTTATTAATAGGTAAATTTGATAATAATGCCGATGAAAAATTAATCAACGAATAATACAAAATATGGATAAAGAGTGTGGGTGTGAGTGGCATTCACGTTTAACTGTGATCTATGCTCACACTCACACCGACACCCAAGTTTTGTCTTACTAGTTGAACAATAAAAAATTACAGTATAATCACATATGCAAAAAAAGAATACTTTTTATTAAAAGTTAACATCCATGAAATAAAATAAAAGAGTAAATAAAAGACGAACAATTAATGTTGAACTTTTGAAATGTAATCCATTAACTGATTTTTTTATATAGTGTACATTGTCGACCAATAAATCATAATTAAACTGGTTTAAGAGTTCATTCATATGAATTGGTTGAAAACGAGATAATTCATTTTTAATGATGGTCCCCGATTTGCTGTTAAAGTGTGGGCGTGTGGTCTGGTTTGGGTGAAGCTGTCGAGTGTCCGTAAGACTATCGATAGTCTCAGTCACGCTCACAGCCACAGCCCCAAGAATGGCAAACCGGCAACTGAATTCGGTCGCCAAATATTTGTATCGGATTTCTAGTTTCTTTCAGCGAATTCCTACTGAAAGTTGCCAGTTTTCTCACGGTTTTCGCTGAAAATCCTCGGAAAACTGCATCAGGACTCATCGTCCTGGGTAAACTTGTCGAATTTGCTTTTTTCCTCGTTGATGTCCATTTTGAAGACATTTATCGAATTAAATGCAGATTTGTTCGAATGATACACAATTAATTAATCGATCGTAGTTGGATAGTTCTGTCCTGAGAATGGAGATAGGAAAAAACATTGCTAAAAAACTTTCTTTAATCTATCTTTACCTATTCATAGATGAATTTGACGATAATATCGAAAAATATAGAATATCGAAAAATAATGCACCATTTCTTTATAATTTCGTCATGACTGATGAACTTGAATTGCCTAGTTTAACCACTCATCGGTCACCTCATACACGAAGGTATGTCATTTACTTTTCATCGTTAAATTCAAAATTTTTCTCTTCTAATTTTAATGAAGAAGGTTGAGATTTTAGTACACATCGTTTAGTTCTTGGTGCTCATACATCCACTGAACAAAATCATGTTATTATTGCTAGTATTAACTTACCAAAAGAAGATCTTGAATGAGATAGTTCACATTATAAGAATGAAGAAGCTGAATTTGGTAGTTATGGTTTAATTGATAGTCGAATTGAAGTCGATTTAAAAATCAATCGTGAAGGTAAAGTTAATCGTGTATGTTATATGCCACAAAATCCTCGAATAATCGCATGAAAAACACCTTTATCTGATGTATTAATCTTCAATATTGATATGCATCCATTAGGTAAAGAACAACTTGGTCAATGTAATTTTGAATTACGTTTAAAAGCTCGTGAGGGTGTGGGTGTGGGTGTGGGTCTTGTGTGAGTATGAGTAATAATGAAGTGAACACCCTCGCTCACACTCAACACAGCCAAGACGATTCGTATCATCAAA